CTGGCCAGGAAGGTGCCGCCGCCCCTCGGAGGCCCCCTCGGGGTCAAGACCTGCAATGAACATGTATTAGAATTACCCTTTTGGCGTAACCAAACCATTCACATCAAAAGACAAAAGGAGTTGGCACAACATTGCCAGGACAATGACAGTGCAGGCGCCGTAGTATGCTGTGTAAGATACGTGGGACACGCGCACGCGGCATGATTCACAGGACAACAATAGAAGAACGAGGAGCGAGGGTCCAGACTCGAAGAAGACATGGGGGTGGGAACGAAGAGAATGATCAGGACGCGGAGAGGGGCCGAACTGTCAGCGCAGCAGCAGCAGCAGCAGCAGCAGCAGCAGCAGCAGCAGCAGAGAGAGAAGGTGACAAGAGGAGGTGGGCAACGACGACAGCGACGGAAGGAGACAGGAGAGTGTTGCTTTTGTCGGTAGTATGCTACACATGCAGCACTGCCTGCTCCATGTCGCCGCAGCGCTCGAAAGGATCAAACCTGCTTATACATAGTGCAAGAAGCGAGCGAGGCCTAGCTCGCCCGATCATTTCTCTGCATCCTTCCTGCACTTTCCAATGCGGGAGCTAAACGCTCGAAGGCGCGCCGCCAGGTCTGAGGGCGGCCCGCGGGCCAGGAAATCCAGGCCGCGGTCGCGAATCATCAGGAGGTTGTCCACGGTCGTCAACCTGGACAGCATCGCGTAAGTATGCAAACAAAGGTCGCCCCCCAGGAATGTCGAGGTCTAATCTGAATCTGGGTGGTGCCTCACTCCGCTGGAACCCCGCAGCAGCCCTCGAAAGTGGCAACAGTTTCGCAGATCGCCCCCAGGGATGGCGAGGTCTAATCTGAATCTGGGTGGTGCCTCACTCCGCTGGAACCCCCACCAGCCCTCGAAGGTGGCGACAGTTTCGCAGACCGCCCCCAGGGATGGCGAGGTCTGGTCTGAATCTGGGTGGTGCCTCACTCCGCTGGACCCCCCAGCAGCCCTCGAAAGTGGCGACGGCTTCGCAGATCGCATCCCCCCAGGAATGGCGAGGTCTAGTTTGAAGGAATTTCTGTGGAACTCGCGTCATCCTGACCCGTGGCACGCGAAGCAATGGCCCCGTCGACCGCCCCCCTGTGTTTCGTTTTGAGATCCCGGAAATCTGGCGAATCCGGCGAATCCGGCGACGAATTCCAAACCAGCGCCCTCGCGCGGGACGTCCTGAGAAAAACTGGCCCCAGGAGCCTCCCCAAGGAGGCCCTCACAGGCCCCCCTGTTCCGTTTCCGGCGAGATCCAGGAAATCTGGCGAACCCGGCGACGAATTCCAAACCGGCGCCCTCGCGTGGGAAGTCATCAAAAAAATTAGCCCCTGGAGCCTCCCAAAGGAGGCCCTCATAGGGCCCCCCCCTTCCGCTTCCGGCGAGATCTGTGAAATCTGGGGAATCCGGCGAATCCCGCGACGAATTCCAAACCGGCGCCCTCGCGTGGCAAATCCTCAGAAAAATTAGCCACTGGAGCCTCCCCAAAGAGGCCCTCAGAAGCCTCCCTGTTCCTTTCCACGCGAGATCCGGGAAATCCAGCGAATCTGGCGACGAATTCCAAACCGGCGCCCTCGCGTGGGACATCTGCAGAAAAACTGGCCCTCAAAGGTGCCCCTGTTCGGTTTCTGGCGAGATCGGGGAAATCTGGCGAATCCGGCGACGAATTCCAAACCGGCGCACGCGCGTGGGACATCCTCAGAAAAACCGACCCCCAGAGCCGGAGACACTCAGAGGCTCCCCTGTTCCCTTACTGGCGGGGTCCGGGAAATCCAGCGAAAATCAGGTGACGAATTCCAAATTAGTGGCGCCCTCGCGTGGGACATCCTCACAACCACTGCTCCCTGAAGCCTCCCCAAGGAGGCTCTCAAAGGCTCCTCTGTTACGTTTCCGGCGAGATAGGAGAAATCCGGCGAATCCGGCGACGAATTCCAAACCGGCGCCGCCCTCGGAGGCCTCCGTTTCTGGCGAGACAAGGGGAAATCCGGTGAATCCAAGGAAAAAGGACAACGAATTCCAAACCGGCGCACGCGCGTGGGGCATCTTCAGACAAACCGGACACCGGAGCCTCCCCAAGGAGGCCCTCAGAGGCCCCCCTGTTCCGTTTCAGGCGAGATCCGGGAAATCCCCGGGGGAAGGGGGACACGAGGAGGAAAAGGAGGGGAGGGAGGAGGAGGACGAGGTGGAGGAGGACGAGGGGAGTTAGAGGAGGCAGAGGAGGATGAGGAGGAGGAGGAGGAAGAGGAGGAGGAGGAGGTGAAGGTGGAGATTGCCAGCATGACAGCGGGGGGCGCCACGCCCGCCCGATCCTCATTCTCCTGATTCTCATTCTCGCCATCCTCGCTCTCCTGGCCCTCCTTCTCCACATCCTCACCCTCCTGGTCCACGCTCGGCTGATCCTCACCCGCGTGGCCCTCACTCTCCTGATCCTCCCCCTCGCGAGCCTCGCCCTCCTGATTCTCACGCTCATCATCATCTCGACCATTTTCCTCTCGCCGAGACACGCACGCCCCTTCTTCTATATGCAGAAACCCCCGATCAACACAAACGCGGCCGGCTAGTATGAATCTGGGTGGTGCCTCACTCCGCTGGACACCCCAGCAGCCCTCGGAAGTGGCGACAGTTTCGCATATCGCTCCCACGGATGGCGAGGTCTATTCTGAATCTGGGTGGTGCCCCACTCCGCTGGGCCCCCAAGCAGCTCTCGAAATTGGCGACACTTTCGCAAATCGCGGCCCCCTAGGTATGGCAAGGTCTAATCTGAATCTGGGTGGTGCTTCACTCCGCTGGACCCCATCACCACCAGCCCTCCAAACTGGCGACAGATTCGCAAATCGCAGCCACACAACGATGACGAGATGTAATCTGAATCTGGGTGGTGCTTCACTCCAGTAGACCCCCAGCAGCCCTCGAAAATGGCAGCCCCGCAGGGATGACCAGGCAGATGGCAAGCTGGCACCCAGGAAGGAGCGAGGTAAGAGGCAAGTAGGAAAGATGAGAGGAAGAGAGATGCGGGAGGCGGAGCACGCAGTGTTCTATTCAAAACAAGTACCCAAGGCGGGAGAGTTGGGAAAAAGCAAGGCACCATTTTCCCTGGCTTCGGCCTCTCTCTCTCTCTCTCTCTCTCTCTCTCTCTCTATGTATATATATATATATATATATATATATATAAATGTTCGCTGTTTTCGGCCTCTGAAGGTCCTCTCCGGGCCCCCGGACCGTCAGAAAACGACTCGGGACGAAAGGCTGGTCCCCAAGAGCGGGTCGAGAACGCCGGGGGCCCCGCACCGGAAAAATCAAGGCATCGGACTCCTGGGGGTCCCAGCAGTCGTTGCCTCCCGTCGGCGGCCCAACGACGGGACCCTGAGGCAGGGGCCCCTCGTGGTTCACTTTCCAGGGGATCGCTTCTTCTGTTGTCGGCGATTGCCCAGGTTATCTTCGGGGAGACGTAAGACCCGGGTACGGGGGACTCGGAAATCCCCGGCGAGGTCGTCAAAAAAATGACGAGGCCGAGCCTGCATTTTGACGAGGCCTCCCGCTGCAGACATCCCACGAAACTCCTCCTCGTCAAAATCCGAGGCGCGTTCGTCAAAAAACGATGGCGAACCCGAGTCCTGGCAAACCCGGGTCTTACGCTTCCCCGATATCTGGTGGGGGGGGGGGGGGGGGGGGGCCGGTCGACTGCCCAACCTTGTCGGGGCAGCCCAACGTTTGCCCGCGCGCACCACTGCTACGCACCCCCCATCGGACCTGCGCAGCCGACCGAGTCAACTGGGGCTCCCAACTTCGCGCTTCGCGCTGCGCGAAGCGCGAAGCGCGAATAACTTCGCGCTCTCGCGCCGCCCTCCCAGAAGGAGAATAGGAGGACGAGGAGGAGGAGGAGAAGGAACGAGGACCGCGAAGCGCGAAGCGCGAATAACTTCGCGCCCTCGAGGGAGCCCTTGGGGAAGAGAGGGGGCGGGCACGACACGCATGATCGCTGGACTCTGGGAATTACCCTGCGACGTGCCCAACCCATTGGCATCGAGTGACGAGAGGAGTTGCCCCAAGCTCGTCGGGACAATGGCAGTGCGGGCGCCGTTGTACGTCGTGAAGCTACGCGGGATACGCGCACGCGGCATGATTCACAGGACAACGATAGAAGGACGAGGAGCGAGGGCCAAGGCTCGAAGAGGACCTGGGGGTGAGAACGAAGAGCATGATCAGGACGCGAGAGGGGCCGAACAGTCAGCGCGGCAGCAGAAGAGAGAAGTTGACAGGGGGAGGTGGACGACGACGAAACCGACGGGAGGAGACAGGAGAGTGTTGCTTTCGTCGGTAGTATGCTAAAGATGGGGCACTGCCTGCGCCATGCCGCCGCGGCGTTCGAAAGGATCAAACCTGCTTATAGCTAGTGCAAGAAGCGAGCGAGGTCTAGCTCGCCCGCTAGCTTCTCTGCCTCCTTCCTGCACTTTTCAGTGCGGGAGCTAAACGCTCTAAGGCGCGCCGCCAGGTCTGCGGGCGGACCACGGGCAAGGAAATCCAGGCCGGGGTCGCGTATCATCGGTGGGCCGCGCAAGACGTCACTCCGCTGCACCTCCCCCGCAGCCCTCGAAAATGGCGAAAGTTTCGCAGATCGTAGCCCCCCAGGGATGGCGAGGTATCCTGGTGGTTTGCGTAAGACGTCACTCCGCTGCACCCCACAGCAGCCTTCGAAACTGGCGGCAGTTTCGCAGATCGCAGCCCCCCAGAGATGGCCATGTAGGAGGCAAGCTAGCACGCAGGAAGGAGCGAGGCGAGAGGCAAGCAGGAAAGATGAGAGGAGGAGGGAGGCGGGAAGGAGACGCGCGAGCAGTGCTCTTTTCAAAATGAGTACCCAACGCAGGAGGGTTGGGAAAAACAATCCAAAGCAGTCGTTGCCCTGCGTCGGCGGTTCAAAGATAGGACCCTGACGCACGGTGCCCTGAGGTCCAGGACCTCAGACAATGCGAGCTCAATCTAGG